TCAAACTCAGGTCCTCTGCAAGAGCAGCCAGTGCTCTTAACCACTAAGATGCCTCTCCATAAGAAACAAGCAGTAGGAAATCAAGAACGACATGGCCCTGTTCACAGAGAAAGACAGACTTTAATCCCAGCACTTGGGAGGCAGAGGCAGGTGGATCTCTGTGAGATTGAGCCAGCCTGGTCTAAATAGCAAGTTCCAGGCCAGCTGGGGGCTACAGGGAGATGCGCCTCAAAAAAAAAAAAAAAAAAAAAGAGAGAGAGAGAGAGAAAGAGAGAGAGATGAATGATGCTATTTAAAATAGTGGCTTTATACTATGTCATTTAGAACACATTTACCTTCATCTGTGGTGTGGTGGGCACTGTGATCTGCACTTTAGTGATGAGGACAGAAAAGCTCAGACACCTCAGTGCATGGCTAGCAAGTGGCAAGACTAAGTCTCTAATACAAGTACCAGGATCCGGAACCCGTTCCTTAGTCCTCTCCCGCGTTACGCCCTTGCCTATAACAATCACATCATAGGTATAAAATGCTGAGATTTGGGGCTGGAGAGATGGCTCAGAAGTTAAGAGCAGTTGCTATTCTTCCAAAGGGCCTGTGTTGTTCCCAGCACCCAATGTCAACCAGCTCACAACTGCCTGTAACTCCAGTTCCAGATCCGATACCCTCTTCAGGCTTCTTGGTACCTGGACACATGTGGCATCCCCCCCACAGATATCCCCCCCACCCCCACAGACAAATACATTTTTTTAAAAAGCTGAAATTTGGGGCTAGAGAGACGGCTTAGCAGTTAAGAGCACTGGTTACTCCTGCAGAAGACCTGTGTTCAAATCCCAGCACCCAAGTAGCAGTTAACAACTGTCCAGAGCTCCAGTCTCAGGGGATCTGATGCCTTCTTCTGTCCTCTGTACAAGGGTTGCATGACATAGGTGCACTTATATATAGGCAGGCATAACATTTATATTCATAAAATAAAAATAAATTTAAAATGCTGAGATTCCAGAGAGGTGCAAGATCCACAGTGTTTCTTAAGAACACATCAAAAACACAAATGTACCTACATTCTGCCTACTATTAATGATGGTGAGATTAGTACCCATATAGAAAGCTAGGCATAGTTCCAGTACTGGGGAGTGGAGACAGGCATATCCCAGGGCTCACTGCTCAGCCAGCCTATCATAACCCCAGTGAGAGACTGTCTCAAAAACCAAGGTGGACGGCACCTGAGGAATGACACCCAAAGTGGACCTCTGGCCCCCACATGCACACATTTGAACAAAGACACACACACATACACACACACACACACACACACGCACGCACGCACGCACCCACACTCGCAAACACAGATATTTTCATGATTTCAGATACCCTGCCTTTGCCAGGCTCCCTTTAGCTGTAACTAGATTTAGGTCAACAGAGCGGACGATGAGAGGCTAGAACACCCTTAACTTTTGCCAAAGACAAAATAACCTAAAAACCTGTTGGTCCTCAGTGCTCAATGGCTGAGAGGCAGAGAGCACACTAGCCCTGGGTCCACTCACAGAAGTCTGCCCTCTAAGTAACTGTGACAACACTGACTCCTCAAGGGGAGGGCAGGGGTGAAGAGTCATGGCTGTTTGTGAAACAAGTCATAAAGTAACATTTCCTTCCTGTACAGCCTCAGAGATAGCCAGAAACCGGAAGCAAACTGTCATTTTCTCCTAAGATTCAGTTATTCTTAAGTTAATAGGACTGTAGAGACTTCTAATTTTCATGTGGCAGTATTTGTATCTCTTATGAAGAGCTGGCTATGTGAGCCTGGGTCTGAAGGAGTTAAGTCCACACAGTCACTTTAATGATTAACCATTTCGGCCCACTTTTTGCGTACTTACTAAGCTCCTCTGCCACTTCATCAAGACAGATGTCGTTATTCACCGCAGAGTTGGGGTATTTAGGATACCTTGCTAAGAACTTATGGCACAACAATCCCAAACTTTTCTCCTTCCTACTTGGCTGGGATTTCTCAAATTCGTCTCCAGATAAGTGTTCCTACAAAGGAAAAGGTAATAATGCGTTGTTCTGAAATAAAGTTTGACAGATTTATTAGTTTGTGTTCCATGACTAACAGCTCTTACCCACACATGGAGCTTGGAGAGCTGCAGAATCAGGGCTGGACTAAGAACAGTCCCATAGGGAAGCCTGGGAGGAAGATCACTCATGGGTCAGAATACCCAGTGCTGTGTCTGAAGGGTGCAAACTCACCTTCAACTCTGCAGGTCCATGGCAGGGTTATGGCGATGTTCCTGATAGCTGGCCCTTGGACCACACCTTCACCTGATCCCTCTCCCGCAAATCCCCCAGTCTCCACCCAGTCTTGTATAAACCTACATGAAAACAGTCTCTGGCCTCAGGCAATCCACTCTGGTTGTCAGACAGTCCCCTTTTCTGGTCTCGGCTACGGATCTCTGGGCTCACTGCACTGATAAGCATTTTCAGGTTGGCTGTGGGTGTCCATGGCTCTCCCTGGGAGACTTCCTTGGGCTTGGTGGGCGTGGTTAAAGGGCCCAGGTCAGGCTGGATCTCCGCCAGCACCAAGTTGGGCTTCGTGGACTCTTTCAGGGGGGTTTTCATCAGTCCCCTTTTATGTGGCTCAATAAAGAGGTTTTCCTGTTCAAAAGAAGAAAACAATTCAGTTCATTATAAAATAGAAATTATCCTTTTTAACTTCATAATTGACTCTGGAAAGAAAATGCCTAATGACATTGCAAAGTAGGTTAAATTATGTATATTCCAGTGGTTGTTTGACTTTTAATTTCCTTTTCTGTTTGTTCGAGACAAAGCCTCACTATGTATTCCAGCTGGTCTGGACTTTATTGTGTAGCAATAGGCTGGCCTTGAAGTCAGTCTTCCTGCCTCAGCATCTGTAGTGCTGGGATTACAGGCATGTGCCACCACATCTGGCTGCTAATGGGCATCTTAATAGCTAAACTTCCCACTTTTAATGTGGCAAAAAACATGGATTTAAATGTTTTTACCTCATGACCCAATTTTAATAATTTATATTACTTCAGGGCTGGAGAGATGGTTTAGCAGTTAAGAGCACTGGCTGCTCTTGCAGAGGACTCAGATTTGATTCCCAGCACCCACATGGTGACTAACAACCATCCATAGCTCCAGTTCCAGGACATACAACGCCCTCTTCTGGCCTCCTCAGGCTTTGCACAACACAGATGCCCTTACGTATATGAAGGCAAAACACTCATACACATAAAACAAAATATTTTAAAAAGGCTTCATTTTTAAACTCTATGTTTTGAAATAGAACAGTTGTAAAGATAGGTTAGAGTTCACATACACCCTTCACTCATTTCTCATAGCAGAACCAATCATTTTAAGAAATCCCAAACCCTAGAAGCAGACTACTCCTGACACTACACAAAGTAAGGCCCAGAACTACTGTCCACCTAGCAGAGTGACTGTAGTAGGAGCTGCTCGGTATAACAGCACTGACCTGACAGGAAACATGGCTAAGCAGACCAAGGTGATGGAGGTCATATAGTTAGACTTATCCGGAAAGGTCTTACACTTACAAGCAGGGCTTCTGACCAGAAAAATCTGCTTTTGACATCCACCTTCACTTTCTGCAGATGCAGAGAATGCGGTGGAGGGAAGAAAGCAGCTTATAGCTGCAAAGCTAGCTCCTGCCTTTGAGATGGAAGGGGTGAGTTGACAGCAGTTCACAAATAAGACTAAAACATGGAGCTCTTTCCACGTTGACACTAGAGACTCCACACGTGTTTATGTTAAAGACAAACACTTGACTGGCAACACATGAAGGAACAGAGAGACCTGGTATTTTCTCAGTAACTTTAGGAACATGGATAATGGGTGCTATGTTACATGTCTGTGAAACCTAAGGATCTGTCAAGTGCTTTTCCATGCGTACTTTTACCGAAGCTACATTGTACTTGGCAGAATGGGACACAGGCTGGGGCAGGGGGCGGGGTGCACCAGGCTGGCATCTGGACCCTCTTAGTCCAGCATGGGCCTCTTATGTGTGCTCAGGAGGTGTTAACCCAAGGATGGGGCTTTTGTGAAGACTGCAAGTAGTATTTAAGTAACATCTAAAATCTTCAGAAACTTTTCATGGATCAAAATACCAGTCTGGATACCCCCACTAACAAATCTGTAATTTTACAAAATATTCGTTTAAAATAGCATCCAAGGCCTACTATTGTTGACAGTTTAGTAGAATATTATCTTAAAAGAAAGCCAATATCAAATTATGTCAAGTTCCCTTTCTGAATTCCAATGGTTCAAGAATCACACAGATTTTAACACAACATACATTACTATTTCTTAAAAGTACTAAAAATGCCCTTTTCTGTTTATCTGAAACTTCTACCAAACTACTGAAACAGAAAAATTAAGATTACTTAACCCTGGACAACCCTATCTCTCTTCAAAAAAGTTAAATTTTCCTTCCTTCTGGATTGCTATTTTAACCAAAAACGGGACATTCAGGACAGTAGGAAATGAGAACAGTGATGGCATCAAGCCAGATGCTGCTGGACTGAATAGGAGGTTAAATACCTGTTCATTCTCCATTCCGTCAATTTCTCAAACATTTAGTGTTTTTTTTTTTTCTTTTTAAACGCAAAATCCGGAGTTTCTCTCCAAGATCCACTGGTTCAAGTACTCCAATCAAGTCTATTAAAATTTTTTAATAACCTTAAAAAAGGAAAGAGAAAAATAAGAACAAGACCCGCTGAAAGTTCATTCCTTCACGAATACAAGCAGCCACTAAAACAAAGAAACGAAAAATGGCAAACTAGATTTATCCCCGACCGAGAGAGAGAGAGAGAGAGAGAGAGAGAGAGAGAGAGAGAGAGACTCCCCTAGGCAGGGAACGTGAAGGAACTAACTGGTCTAAGTCCTCCGTCAAGCCAGTCTGCTGCCAGGAGACCTCAGGCAAACACCACTCGCGTGACAGCCCTCTCCCACCTTAGGGAAGGCGGCCACGCTCCGACCCCGACCAGTACACTGTAGCAAGCACCCACCTGTGCACCCATCGGGGCTCCGGACGCAGCGCACGAGCCCGGGTCCTCGCTGAGCACACACCACCCCAGGTGCTGGAACGCCCGCCGCGCACCGAGGACAGGCTGACAAGCCCCGCCTCGCACACGCGTGCACCTGCTCAGCAGGAAAGCCCTGGGAAGCTGCCGCATAGCAGACTTCCAGATTCAGCCCTCGGGTTCTCCGCGGGCCGCGGGGCATTTAAACAGAGACTCACGTGAAGGTCCCCCCCCTTCCCGACGTCCCAGGCAGAGGCAGAGCACCAGGTGGGCCAGACGGGCGGCGGCTGCACCCCACCTGCGAAGGCTGCACCCCACCTGCGAAGGCTGCACCCCACCTGCGAAGGCTGCACCCCACCCCGAGGCTCGGCCGGGCAGCCAGGTACAGCCCTGCGCGTCGCCCGCTCCGCGCGGGGCGCACTCGCTCCTCCTCCCGCCCAACCGTGCGGCCTCCCCGGGGGCGGCCGGTCCGCGCCGCGCTCGACAGTTCCCGGACAGCATCCTCCCGGTTTCCAGGGTGACGCCTCCCGTCCAATCAGCGCGCCGGCCGCGGCCCCGAGATTGGCTGTAGCTCCCCGGGGCGGGGCCGGACCTTCCGCCTTCGATTTAAAAATTTGGCGCGGAAAGCCGGGCCGCGGCGGGCACCGCCCCCGAGCTGCGCGGAGCTGGAGCGCGGGCAAACCCGCGCCCGGAACCGCGGCGCGCCCCTCCCCCGCCGGCGCGGAG